ATAATCAAATACCTAGGTCTAAAAACAGAAACACTAGGGCCAGGGATTTAGCTCAGTGGTTGTGCTGCCTAACTCACAAGAGCAAGGTCCTGAGTTCAATCCCTAGTGCCAAACAAAAACAAAAACAAAAACAACAAAAAAATGTAAAAACAAACACTGAATCTGCTGGAAGATAAAATAGGTAAAACTCTTGAAGACATAGTTATAGGCAAGGGCTTTCTGAACAGAACCTCAATTCCACAAGGAAATAATACCAAGAATCAACAAATGGTATTAAGTCAAATTAAAAAGGTTCCTCATAGAGAAGGAAACAAACAACAGAGTGAAGGGATAACCTACAGAATGGGAAAAATTTTTTGCCAGCTATTCTTCAGACAGAGGATTACTATCTAGGATATATGAAGAACTTTAAAAAAAGGATTCCCCAAATAAAAGACCTAGTCAAAAATGGGGAATTGAAATTAATAGACACATCAAAAGAAGAAGTATAAATGGCCAACAAGTACATGAAGAAATGTTCAGCATCTTTGGCCACTAGATAAATGCAAATCAAATCAACACAGATTCCATCCTACTCCAGAAAACATAGCTATCATAAAGGACTCAAAAAACAACAAATGATGGCAAAGTTGTGAGAAAAAAAGAACCTTTCTACATTATTGGTAGTAATGTGAACTAGTACAACCATTACGGGAAGCAGTATGGACGTTCCATTTGCCCCAGTTATGCCTCTCCAGGGTATCTTCCTAAAAGAGATTAAGTTATCATATTATAGTGATACATTTATACCCATTTTTATAGCAGCACAATTAATAAAAGCTAAATTATGGAACTGGCCTATATGTCCATCACCAGATGAGTGGATAAGGAAAATGTAGTATATATACCCAATGGAGTAATTCTCAGCCATGAAGAAGGATACATTTGAGTCATTTGTAGCAAAATGGATGGATCTTAAAACCATGATGCTAAGGGAAATAAATCAGACACAGAAGGTTAAATATCAAATGGCTTCTCTTATATGAGAAACCCAAAATATACATAGTTTAAAAAGTAAAATAAGAAATAGTAGGAAGCAGAGAGGTAGTCTCTGTGGAGATGGGAAGGGGATCTGGAAAAGAGGGTAGAGGGAACCGTTGGGAGGAGGGAAGTAAAAATGGGCAAGGTGAGATGTGTATAAGCATCAATTCCCCCAGAACACATGTAATTATTATGCATAAAGAACATATACTAATAATGTTTAAAGGGAGAAAGGAGTGGACATGTAACAGTAGTTAGAGGTGTAGACAGGAGCTAAGCCACGTGACTGTCCACTCAACAAACCCTAATAAGTTCTGTCAAGGACAGTCAGCACAGAAAGGAGGAAATAAAATTTAAAATATTTAACAGAATTTATAGCATTTGTTAAGGATGTGTTTGAGTTGAAAGAGGAGGCCCAAGAGGGTCCACACATTGAATGTGAGTTTAGAAGTTACATAAAGGAAATATAGCAGGGGAATAGGTGTCAGAGGCAAGATGATACTTTGGGGACAGGCTGAGAAATAATAGCCAGAAACCATTTTAATGATTAAAAGCAAAAAAGAGGTTCTGAATCATAAAACTGTGCTTGTATACAGATTAAGCATGTGAGCCTAAAGTAACATTACACATTCAGAGCTCATTAAAACCCAAGCCACATGCAGCATACTTTGACCTATCTGAGCTAACAGACCAGTGGTTAAAGACATTAGTGGTTAAACACATTCATTAAATGTTTGATTAACAACATTTGGCTGTCTTTTAGAATTCACCTGCTGCTCAGCTCAGCTGCTCTTCCAGCCCGTTCTAATCTGACCTTGGGTCTCATCACTTAACTGAAATTGCAAGGCAAAGGACAGCAATGATTTTCTCATTGCAAATTCAAAGAGCACTTGAAATTTTTAAAATCAAAATAGTATTTAATTATAAAAGTCAAGTAGTGCTACAGGGTTTATAGTATTAAAGAATTCAGTTCCCAACTCCATGTCTCTCCATTCCAATTTTCATCTCACAAGGGCAATGATTTTCAACTCTTGTACAAGTTCTTCCTGGGTAAATAATAGGATTGTGCCTATTATTTTTTTTAGTATTGATTTGTTTGTTTTGTTATTTTGCTGGATATCTTCCACTTGTCCCTGGGTCCACTCCCTTCTTTCTCCCTGCTCTCTGCTGGGAGACACTCACTCTTATGAACAATATTGGTGTCTGTGGGTTTATGAATGGGCCCTTTGTCTTCCAGTTTTGCTTATTGTTCTGTAGTTGGGAGATGGAAAATGGGAGATGGCAAGGGGAGGGATTTATTCTCCCTCCTAGACCCTAGCTGGCCGTATCCTCTAGTGGAAGCCACTGCCTGTCTATTCTGCTTGACTCTCATTGTAGATCATGGTCACCATGCACTCCATGTATCCCTTTGACCTTAGGCTTAGTAGCAGTACAATTGCTACTAAGCCCTAGCTCACTCGTACCCACATCTTTGCAAACAGTCCCTTTGGAAATATGCTGTCCTCAAGTTTCCCATTTACTGTGCACTACCATCTGTGTCCTGTTGTGACCCTGACTGGCAAGCTTACTATGGAAAATAAGGATTTAGTTTTCTTACTCCACCTTCCTTGCCCCATAACACACATAAACCCACATGCAGCTCCTATTATGAATTGAATGCTTTCGTATGCCCAAAATTCATATGTTGAAATCCCAATCTTCATTGTGATAGCATTTGGGGGATGGGTGTTTGGGGAGATAATCAAGTTTAGAGGAGGTCTTTTTTTGAGTACTTCTTCTAAGTTGTTCCATTCCAGATTAGTTTTCAGTGTTCTCTAGTCCACTTGGTAAGTTATTATGACTCTATCTTCTGTCTTATATTACTGTATTGCTGTCATTTCTTCTCCAATTAACTTTGTGCTTGTGAGGCTATGCCTTTTTTAAAAACCCTTTTACATTTATTTCAGTGATTTTGTTACAAAGTGGCCATAATTATATGTTCAATCTATTACATAATTAACAATTTCTTGTCCTTAATTTACTAATTTTGCTGCTGTGTTTGAAACTCCAAAGCACTCATTCTAGAAACTTTATCATTGTTATGGTCTGTGTCTAGATGTTCCCTCAATGCCTCACGTTGTCATAGTGGGGCTTTTTCAGAGGTGACTGAATCTAGAGTGTGATGCTGGGATTAAGTGTATGTGATTACTAAGTGAGTCCACTGATTGGTTTAGCAGTGCCCTAATCCTGGTAGCCTGGATACAATATAAGGGGCAGAAAGAGGCTTATCTTGTCCCTTGCTTGCTTTGCTACCTTCTGCCCATCATGAACTGTTTCTCCTCTGTGATTCTCCTGTCTGCCATCCACCCTGCCTTGGAGCCACCTGATTATGGACTGAAACCTCTACAAACCGAGCTAAATAAACCTTTCCTTTCTTAACTTGTGAATGTTGGGTATTTTGTCTCAACAACGAGCAAAGTAACTAAGACAATCATCCTTTGGCTTCCATGGCTATAAGACTTTTTTCCCCTCTTGCTAGATCATCTAACTTTTTTCCTTGGTTCTTTCTGTTCCTATTGCTTGTCCCTTAAATGTTGTTGCCCAGGCCTTTGTCCTAAGTCTTCTTATATTTTCATCTATACATTTTCTATAGATAACACTACCTCCTTTCATGGATTTAAACCATTCTTTAGTAATATAGATTCCCACATCTACATGTGTCTCCACATTCACATAAAACACAGAAACTAGATGGAGGACAAGAAGACCATGTCTACCTATTCCTTAATCAAGTAACACAAACATCCTGCAACCAAAACAGGTCCTCCTTTTAGATAAAGGAAACAGAAGAAGTGAATTTAATAAAAGTCACAACTGGAGCCCAGCAGGAACTGTGTCAGTCATGATGGGTGAGGTTTAGCTGTAGTAATAAGCAATCCTAAAATTACACTGTCAAGACAAAACATTATTTGTCATGAAACAGTCTGCTGTGAGTGGGCCAGCTTGCCAGACAGCGATTCTATATCAGATCACTTTTCAAGGTCTTTTCAGTCTCACAGAGAACACGTTTTTGAACCTCATTCTGACAGAAGAGGAGCTGCAGAGATGAACACAGGCTTCCAGAGGGGAGACGTGTCAGGTCTCTATTCATTGCCCAAAGGAAGTTGCATGGTCAGCTCTAACTTCAAGGGGGCAGGTAAGAAGAATCCTCTTGTGTTCTGAGAAATGAATAGTTTTGGACAGCAGTAATTTGTGGCATTAACAATATTAGGCCCTAACTAGAGAATCTGGCTACACAGTGTCTTCTCATTTTTATACTCCTAGTGTCTAGCTTGATGACTGGTGCACAGTGTTTGAATGTGGAATTCAAATATGTGTTAGGAGATGATGTGTTAAGTCCCTTTGAGAAAGTGTTCAGAAAAGTCGGCACTGCTATCTCATTTTCCTTACAAAACAAACAAGAACATTCAAATCCTTCCACTGACCTTTCTTCTGGGCTTAAAGTTGGAGTCATTATTCAAAAACAGTACTTTTTGCCTCTAAACACTTGGAAGTCTCACTAAGACTTTGAGTTTAAAGTTTGAAGAGAAGGCACTTCATAGCTTTCTTTAGTATTATTACCTTGATCAAAATCCCTCCCCAGGGCAGACTGGAAGGGGGAAATGAACAAATATGGCCCTCAAAGGGTTAGGAAGGTGGATGTGTGTGTGTGCCTTTTATGTTAGGCAATGAGACAGTCACAGCTTTGAGTACAGGTACATTTACAGGCAGATAGACACGCATTGCTTATGGCATCTGAAATTGAGCACATCAGCCTGAGCTCCGACTGATGGCTCCTTCCTTCCTTTTCATCCTGCTTTCATGAGATACCATTTCTTGCCCTGATTGGCATTTTCCAACATGCAGCTGAGGTCTTTAAAAACAAAGTGCTACAAGGTGAGAATGAGAGGCAGTGTTAAGCACCTGATGTCGAGGAATGCAAAGGATCCAGGAGAAGAGACTGAGTGTTCAATATTTATTCAGGTGCTTCCATACCAAAGGCATTCCTTAGTTCTTTAGGGTAAAGGGTTTGTTCTTCTTAAATCACATATACTTATGATGAATAATTCAAGCAAGAGAGACAAGTGCAAAGGAAAAAGTTGTAAAAATCATCTAATATAGCAACAAATGAGCAGTATGACACCAGGTTGATGTCATTCCAGGTATTTCTAATGGTGAGTACAAAGAGGAGGGTAAACATCACTGTTCTTTGGTTCCCCCCACCCCAGTACCTCCTCTGCCTCTTGAGACCTCTTAGCCATGAAGAATCCTAGAGTCTGACTCAGGGCCTCCCATCTCTCCCTTTATACATTGCTAGGAATGTCTTAACTAAGACACAAGTTAAAGGAGGAAAGGTTTATTCTTGTTCACTGTAGAGGCTTCAGTCCATAGTTCACTGGCTCCAAAGCAGGGTAGCATTGCAGAGAGGAGAAACAGTCCTTGACAAGGCAGGCAGGAGTCAGCAAGCAGTGAGCCTGACTTCTTTCTGTTCCTTTATATTCCATCCAGGCAACAAGCCTATTGATTGGTGCCCGACATGCCCACGGTGGGGCTTCCAATATCTATACCCAGAGCTATACTAAACCAATTTAGTTATCACATCCTTAATCCATATTCACACAGCATAGATCCAGCCACCTCCAAAAAGCCCCACCTATGAATACATGAGTCTTTGGGGGACATCTAGACACACCCATACTTGACTAGATACTTGACCAGTTCTGTAGTTTTAAATAATAATCAAATGCTGATGGCTCCAAAATTTATATATCCAGTATTGTTCCTGGATAAACTGGTCAGCTAGATTGCAGGGAGTTGGATCCTAGTTGGATTCATAGTCATATTCTCTCTCTCTCATTGTTTCAAAATAGTCTTGGGTCTTGCTATGTAGTTCAGGCTGCTCTTGAACTCACTATGCAGCCAAGGCTGCCATCAAACCCATGGTGATCCTCCTGCCTCAGCCCCCTGAGTTCCAGGATCACAGGCCTGCGCCACCACACCCAGGTGGGTTCTCTTTCTTTTAGCTTTAAGGCTATGGGTCTCAGACACATCTAGGTATACTGTTTACTGTGCTAACACTAATTTCTTAGTCATAATACTTCTAATACTACCTATCAGTGAGCATCTATTGCATGTTAGATAGTATGTATGTCTTTTACATACATTGTCTCATTTTATTCTCGTGCCAGATAGATTTTAAGAGAAACATCCCCCCGACACACACAGGGCTTGGACTATTAAGTAGCTTGCTAATTTGATACAGTAGTGTTAGAGTAAGAATTTAAACTCAAGGGACTATGCTCTTTCTCATGGTTTATCTACCAGCATTTCCATATGAATTTTGGTATCTGTTTGACAATTTCCATACACACATAATACAGCTGGGATTTTTATTGGGATCACCAAGACTTTATGGATTGTTTTGGTATGGCAGTTAAGTTTCGTGTGTCAACTCCACTGGGCTAAGGGACCCTCAGACAACTGGTAAAATACTGTGTGTGTGTGTGTGTTCCATAAGGAGACTGCCATTTGGATCAGTAGACTAACGTGAGTGGGCACCATCCAAGTCACCAGCCATCTACCTTCCCTTGCTCTTGGATATTGGCACTTCTGGTTCTTGGGCCTTTGGACCTCAACTGGGACTTACATCACTGGGATCCCTGTTTTTCAAGAACTTTAAGCTTGGGGCCAGAACTATGCTATCAGGTACTGGGGGCTTCCAGCCCACTAATAGCACATCCTGAAACTTCTCAGCCTCCATAACTTCGTGAGGCCATCCCTCATAATAAATCTCTTTCTATGTCTCTGTATATCCTCTTGGTTCTTTTTCTCAGAAAGATCCTGACATTTGATGACAGCTGACATCTTATACTATTGAGTTTTTCAAACTATTTCCTTCCTTTTATTTAAACCTTCTTTAATTTCTCTAATAAATTTTGTCACTTTTATTTTGAAGCAGCAATTTACTTGCTACAACTTGAATTGGGCCAGGCCTTCTGGGTTGGATATACTAAAGCAAGAACTTGGTGAATGAGAGGTGCAACAGGGAAACCGCAAAATGTGAACAGAAGAAATTACTGAAGTTTTCACTAAATAAACTAACAATTTCAAGAATCTTACAGTGGACAGCAACCACTTGTTTCACAACATTGTAAGTGGTAAGCTAGGAAGCAGCCTTGTTCCCAGCCAGTGACAGCAATGCCAGGAACTCCAGAGGGTATTTATATGTTGTAGCCTACCGTGGAATGATGATTCAACAGCAAGTTTTCATGAGGAGGAGGCTGTATTATTAATTCAGGCATGATGCCTGTCATCTTTAAAAGTGAAGCGCGGGCTGGGCTGAATGCAGGCCAAGCTTGCCTTCTAGGCCTCCTCCCTCTTCCATTTCTGTAAACTCCTCCAGCCTGTTAGTGTTACCTCTTCTGCACCTTCATATTTCCTCAGAGCCTCCTTTTTGCTTCATACATCAAGACCTGCCTTACCCTACACTTTCCCACAGCTCCAGAAAAGAACCCCAAACCCTCCCTTCCTTGTCTCCTGTTTACTCGTATTTAGGGTATTCAGTTGTTCAGAGAAAGAAAATAGAGGATCCAGTTAAACTACATCCAGTGGGTAGGTAAGGATTTCTCAAATTAGGGTCCAAGCACATAATCCTAGAGATCTGAGAGTCTATGGGAATTAGATAATTATAGCTAATATTTATTGAACACTTACTATGTTTCAGATGCTGTCTTTACTTGTTTAAGTGTTTGGTTTCATTGTAAACCTATAAAGCAGAGGCCTATATTTCCTTTAATAGGTTAGCAAACTGAATTCCATGATTTTATCCCCATCAAACCATAAGTAACTATGGAAAGGTTGATTTATAAACTCACAGTGATATAGCTAATAAACAGTAATGTAAGGACTCGAATCCAGTCGGTCTGGGTCCAGAGCTAATGCTTTTTTTTTTTTGGTACCAGGGATCAAACTCGGGCCCTTGCGCTTGCGAGGCAGGCGGCAGAACCACTGAGCTAAATCCTTGGCCCAGAGCTAATGCTTTTAACAACTTTGCAATGATGTCATTTCCATTGGAACAGCTCGGGTTCAGTTGGAACTAAGATGATCTCATGCACATGTCTAGCAGTTATCTGGGGCCCCCTTCTCCACGTGGTCTTTCCAGTAGGATACCTCAGACTTCTTTATATGGCAGCTGTATTCCAAAAGGGCAAATGTCATGTGGAAATTACCTGCAAGCACAGAAACCTTTAAGTATATTACCAGACTGGTTTTCCCATAGGTCATGGAGCAGATAGGCATACAGACCAAATTAAGATGCTTAAATCACCTTGTCTATATGGCAATTCAAAACCATGCAAATTCTTTGGCATTGTTCCCATTGAGAGTTGTATCCTGCCCTTGAATCTGGACTAGCTTGCATTTTAACTAGTAGAATATAATGGAATCAATGTTGCATGACTTCTAAGTATAAGTCAGTAAAGGCTCTGAGCCTGATTCTTTTCAGCCTTTCACTCTGGGGAATCCAGCTGCCAGGTGATAAGTTCACCATGCCAGAGGGGCTGTGAGGCCAGCCAGCCAACAGCTAGCATTAACTGCCACATGAGTGAGCCACCTAGGCTGTCCAGCCCAGATGAACTTCAAATGACTGCAGGTTCTGTTGAAATCTGATTGCCAGAGCATAAGAGACTTCAAAAAGAACTACCCAAGCAAACTCTACAGATTTCTGGGTCATAAAATTATGAGCATAAAAACTATTTAAGTCACGAAGGCTTTGGTGTGATGTGTTCACTCAAAGAGCAGCAATATTAACCAGAATGGTTTACCAACAAATATAAAACAGAGTGAAAAGCAAGGGGAAGAGATAGGGTAGGTTAAAAAGCTTAGTTCAGGCTGGAAGGACCACTACCTAAATTCTGTTTCATACAAAGTTCATATGTTTTGTCCTTCTTTGCTATGCTAGTCTTCTCTGCAGAGTATAATTATAAGGACCAAAACAGAGAGTAACCAAGGCTTCAGCACATCAAAGAAGCCTGATCCCACTGTATTAGTCATCTTTCCTGTCACTGAGACGTAATACTCAACACCTACAACTTAAAGAAGAGGTTTCTTTCTTTGGCTCAGTTTCAGAGGGTTCAGTCCATGGCTGGCTGGCACCAAGGCAGAAAGGGCATGGTGGAGGAAAGCTGCTTACTCCATGGCAGCCAGGAAGAAGGGAAGAGCTGGGGACAGGAATACAACCTTCCAGGTCACGCCTCCAGTGACATGCCTCCAACAAGGCCCCACTTCCTAACAGCATATGCAGCTGTGAACTCATCAATGGATGAATCCACTGATGAGTATATGCCTCCATGATCCGATCACCTAATAAAACCCCACCCATGAACATATGAGAACTTTAGGGGACATTTTAGATCTGAACTATAACACCCACCATACATCTGTTTTGTTGGAGAGGTGAGGAGCAACTGTATGTTGTCAAAAATGTAGCTGGCTATTAGCAGTCTGGGTCTATTGGGATTATCTGCTTTTCCTGGGCAGAGAAACTATGAGGCCATAATAGAGCTACAATGAGTATCACCAGTAAGTTTTCAATTTAGGGATGGCATAGCTGGCAACCTAGAGGCAGTATGAGCTGTGCCTCCTTAATGTTAAAGTTCATTTGTCTTTCCACCCCTTTCTATATAAAGCAGCACTCACTTGCTACATCCTTTTTTATCTATGTTCAACATATATCCATTTATTTTAGGTATAATACATCTTGTAAGTGACTTGCTTCTACATTTTAGCTTTTGCTACTACTTTATATGTAACAGGATTGAATATTTTAAATACAGGAAGGCATTACAGTAAGCTGCATGAGGCTTGTTATGTCTCATTTATTGGCCAAAGGAAGTCACATGGCCAAATCCACAGTTAATGTGAAAGTAGACTACACAAGGGAGTGGAAAACAAAAGGTGGACTGAGGATCACTATTGTTAGCAATCCATCACTGACAGGTAGACAATAATAAATCCGGAGATCACACTTTGTCCTACAGACTGTTTTGAATGAGTTCTTACAGAGAAGTTTTTCAAAACTTACTTCCCAGTCTCACCCCAAGTCCTGTGAATCAGAATCTTTCAGGTACGAGTGGTTCTGTGGGGTGGAAAGGCAATAATCTCAGGTAACTGAGCCTGAAATAACTTCGGAGGATTCCAGGATACAGGGTGTGGGCCTCAATGACAAGAAAGACACACTTCCGGCACTCAAGAAGCTTTCATTTTCCATTGGGCTTGTTTTGTTTCTCGCTTTTTGCTTTTGTACTAGGGACTGAATCCAGGGCCTTGTCATTGAGCAACACTTCCAGCCCTTTAAAAAATTATTTTATTAGAGCTGGGGATTTAGCTCAGTGGTTCCGCTGCCTGCCTCACAAGCGCAAGGTCCCGAGTTTGATCCCCAGTACCAAAAAAAAAGTATTTTATTTTGGGACAGTACCTCGATAAACTGCCCAGGTGGAACTTGAACTTGGAATCCTCATTCCTCAACCTCGGAAGTGCTGAGATTACAAAGCTGCAGCACCACCACACCCAGCCACAGAGAGTATCCTTGATTGTCAGATGCCAGAGATGAAATTTTACAAAATTGCTCCCCATGCTTCTTGAAGTTCGAGCAGTGGTTCCCAAACCAAGTGCACAGGTTTTAGTTGGAGGGTTTGTTAAAACAGTTGGCTGGGCCCTTCTGCCTAATGTACATCATCTCTAGATTACGTATACCTAATACAGTGTAAATGCTACAGAAACAGCTCTTACATTGTATTACTAAGGGAATAATGAGGAAAACCTGTACATGTTCAGCGCAGGTACAATGATTCTGCAGACCCAGAACCCTCAGACGGCGAGGGCTGATTGCACTGTACTTACCTATTCAGTAGCACAATGTTCTGGGCTCCGTGCCCCATTGGCTAAGACTTAATCTCCATTACTTGTGAGCAGGCTTACTAAGTGGATTTATTCCCTAAAACGGGGTGCCTAGGTGTCTTCAGGCTCGGATAAGGTAGTGAAGCGGTGAGGCAAAGCCTCACGGAGCAGACCCTTGGGCACAGGCCACAGGTGGACACGCAGAGTTCTGTCTGCCTCAGGAGGGCAAAGCAGGCCGGACACGGCGCAGCGAGCCGCGAAGGCGGTGACGAAGCTGCTGTGGGCTCCCGCGTCGGCGATCTGCGCGGGTTGCAGCCATCAGGCCGAGTGAGTCTCCGGCGCCGGGCTCCCCAAGGACGGCGCGGGCGCTGCGGCCCGGGCGAAGGGGCTGCCGCCCGGGCGAAGGGGCTGCCGCGTGGGCACTGCTCAGGGGAGACCCAGATTAGGAGGGGGCTGGGTGGGGAGGCAGCGTCTGGCCCGGCGGGCGAGGGGTCCGGAGGGCTCTTCCTTCGCCCTGGCCAAGTGCGCCCGGCGCCCCTCGGCCTCCGCCTTCGCGCACTGGGGTCGAGGCGCGCGCTCCCGCCGGCTGGGAGCGGCCCTGGGCCCCCAAGCTCTGCGCCTGCGCCGCTCCGCCCACCTGCGCCGCCCCGCCCTGCCGCTCCCCAGACGGCCACTAGGGGAGGTGCCGGCAGCCTCGGCCGGAGCGCGGCTGTTGCGAGGCGCGGAGCCCTGTTGTGGGGACCTGGAGCCGAGAGGGTGGGCGAGGCGGCGGGCGGCGAGGGCGGCGCCACGGGAGGCGGCGCGCGGTGACTCATCCCTCGGCGGAACGGAGTGACGGACGCAGACCCTCGCCGAGCCCAAGCCCGCCCGGTTGCTGCTCTTCCCGGAGCCGCCTGCCGCCGCCGCCCCTGCGAGCTCGGCGCCCGGCCTCCCCGGGAAAGTTTGTCCGGCGGCGGCCGGGGCCTCGGCCCTTCGCGCAGAGCGGGCGCCGCGGCGTGCATGGTGCCCGGCGCCGCGGCTGCCCGTGCGGAGGACTCTGGGCGCTCGGGCTGAGCCGCCGCCCGCCCGCGCGCCATGTCCCGGCTGCTGCCGCTGCTGAGGCGCCGGCCCGCGCGCAGCCTGAGGCCCGGCCCGGCCGCCGGCGCCCTCGCGCCCCGCCCTCCGCCCTGCGGCGCTGCCCGGCGGCTGGGCACGCACCCCAAGAAGGAGCCGGTGGAGGCGCTGAACACGGCGCAGGGCGCGCGCGACTTCATCTACAGCCTGCACTCCACCGAGCGCAGCTGCCTGCTCAGGGAGCTGCATCGCTTCGAGTCCATCGCCATCGCCCAAGGTGAGGCGCCGGGGCCTCCCCGCCGGCCCCGGGAACTTGCGGCCTCGCCCGCGCCGCGGCCCTGCACGCGGCTGGGAGTTCGGATCCTGAGCCGCGCACCTCCCCGCCCCCGCCCCAAGTCCCGGCTGCCCTCCGGGGCGCGTGCATCCCGCAGTTGGCGAGACCCGAAAGTGCCGCAAACTCGACAGGCGGGCAGAAACTTTCCTGAACGCGCGGGCGAGGTGTCCGAGTGCTCCCCCAAATGGGTGTAGCCTGCGGGGGCCGGGAGCTGTCAGCTGCCTGTTTGTGCACACAGCTGGTGGTTCTAATGTGAGCTGTCCGAGGAGACTTGCTCCTGGGAAATAGAGAGAATGGAGCAAGCCAGCAAAGGCAGATGCAGAGTCGTAAACCCGAGGAGGTTCACGTTGAACTCCAGTTTTTGTTTCCCCAAAGTTTGAGAGCGGGAGGAGAAATCTGTGGCTCTATAATAAAGAGTTCTGGTGAGGATTAACTTGGAAGGATGGTAGCAAAGCTGTTTTTAAGCTAACATGTTAAAATAGGATATTTTTAAAACAAGTGCAAAATGTAATAGGTCAGAATTTGACTCTAGGTGAAAAGGCTAAAAGTTCAGAAAATCGAAAGACTGAAAGGAGCAAAGGACCAAGATGGATGCAGTCTTAAAATATTTTTTGCCATTTAAAGACTGAATATTACATTCTGATGTGTCTGAAGGTTTTGAAAAGGTTCACTTTTTCCTTCTTGAAGTTGGTATATGTAAACATCCCATAAATTGTTAGAGCACATTGATTTGGAGCATGGCATTTGATTTGCCCGAGCCTCTTGGAATTTATCTTCGGCCTTTGTGCACGAGTGGAGTGGAAGAGTTACCTACCTCGTATAGGCATGAGTTATCTTTACTACTTCAGAAAAGTATTAGTTGTACCTTTTTGTTTGTGTTTTGATCAGTTCAGGGAGTGTATTGAATGGTACCATAGTTTCCCCACAGTGCTTTTATGGGAAAATGTATCATTCCAATCAACTCAGTTATTAAATAGTTAAGTCCTGATATTACAAGAAATCATAATTGAATACAGTACTAGCACATTTGTAATCTATGTGTGCACTTGGTAGGTAGTTTTAAAATATTAAATTCTGAAAATATGCTCCTTGTCAAATGATATAAACAGTCATATTAGAATGTTTATTTTTTGGCTCTCTCTATAGACAAGACTGTTTGAACACAAGTAATTTATTGGAAATTCTGCATTGTCAACATGTTGCAAGATCGCAGGGCCCTTTGAATCTAATTTCATCGTTGTCTTGAAAAGCCTGTCCTGCAATATGATTGCATGCATTTTATCTCATACATTGTTATTTTTGTACATGCCCACAATATCACAGTAGGAATGCTCTATTTTCCAATGCGGATAATATTTTTAAAATTTACATGGTTTTAAATGTTCTGGAAAAGACTAAAAAACGTAAGGCTACAGAGGTCATTAGCATCAGTTAAACTTAATTATGTAAGTTACATGAGAGAGAAGTTGGTAACTTAAATTGTTCAGAAGAAACACAGGTATATAGGAAACTGTACTCCAGTGTTCATTTCCTATTTATAAGGTAAGGAACTATTAGTGACTGACTTATTACTGCTTTGTGAGTTTTAGCTGCCACTCAGGTGCTGCTGTCTTAATTTTGAGCACAGTCTTGGTGCTCACTTGCATATCAATACACATAGTTTGAAGATAATAGAATCAACACTTAGCATATTATCCTGTTCATTAATCAGACTGTAAAAAGGATTTTACTGTGTTGAGAATGCATTGTCGACATCAACATTTTCCCACCAGATAAATGAAAAACATGCATGGTTTTCTTTTGTTGTTGCTTTTTGAATAATGTTTTTAAATACATAACTAATGCATCGAATGTATGTGTGTACCAAGTGCACTTTCTAATGAAACAAACTTACTGTTCAGAGGGCTGTTTCTTACTGTAGAAGTCTGTGTGTCCTTGGAAAAAGGGTACTCGTATGAACTGATGAAATGTTTTGGTTTTGGTATGGAAATATTATAGACAAAAATCATTTTTGCTTTGACATGGTTAGTGAATCTGCTGAAACTTGGTGTATTTGCCCTTATCTTTCTTACTTGTTTATCAGTAGGTATGTGGCTTCATTGGTGACAAGATAAAGTTTGAGAATAAATCTGTAATAGATAAGGCAGACTGTGGGGTGTTGTTATAGTTGAATAACAGATCATGATTTTTTTCTTAAGTTTCAAATTGTTTCTTTTCCAGTTTTAGAGAAGTTTATGCTCTATCTCAGCGTCTCTAACAGGAGCAGCCATGTTCTGCTGATAGTACGTCTTGGCTTGTTTTATAAGTAGGACTGGCAAGCTGACTTTATTGAAGTTCAGTATTAGCCAAGATTTTGAAAGCAGATTTTCTTCTTAATTTTTGTAATTAATGTTTCTATTTATAATTATATTGTATAAACTTTTATAATGTAACATTTTGGTTTTGAAAGATGGCAGTGCTCATTGTGTTAGAAGTTAACCATTGTGGTATAACAAATTTCCCCAAGACATAGTGGCTTAAAACAAGCATGTCTTATTTCACAATTTCTGATGCTCAGGAATCCTGGAGCAGCTTGGGTATTTCTGGTTTACAGTCTCTTGTGAAGTTGAATTCTTGATGGCCTGGAGGATCCATTTGCAAAAAGACTCACGTGGTTTTTGGCTGGAAATGTCAGTTCTTTGCCATGTGGGTCTGTGCAGGGCTGCCTGAGTGTTTTCAAGTCATGGCTGCTGGTTTCCTCTAGGATAAGTGTGAGAGAGAGAGAGAGAGGCAGGCAGAGGCAGACTGAGCTGGGAGCTATAGTCTGTTATAACTCCCTAGAAGTAAGCTTGTGTCTCTTGCTGTGGGAGGGCACTATACAGAGTGTAGTGAAAGGTTGGAAGTCACTGGAGGCTGTCATGCAGACCGTCTTCATATTTAGGTTATTGCAGTTACTCGGAGACATAAGAACTGGCTCTCGGGAGAGGTACACAATGAGAAAAATGATTCAGAAGGAAGCTTCTTGGCAAATGTTTTTGTTAAATGTGACTTAAGATAGTTTCTAAAAGATTATTATTATTATTATTATTATTATTATTATTATTTGGTACTGGGGATTGAACTTGGGTCCTTGTGCTTGCGGGGGAGGTGGTGTAATCACTGAGCTAAATCCCCAGCCAAAAGATTATTTTTATGAGTAGCAAATAAGAGATACAGCAAGATGAATATAGCATTTTTTCCATTGATAATAGTTCTTTTTTAAAAAAATTCTTTTATTGGTACATTTTAGGTATACAGTACATTTACATTTATCATTGGGTGCTTGTACCTGAACATGATGTATCTTGGTTCTTATTTTTTTCCCCATTACCTGTGCGCCCTTCACCCCTCCACCCTTCCCTATTTACATAGACTTTGTTTCCATTTTTTCCTTTTCTTATAATTTTTCTTTTCCCTTCTTTCCTTTCCCCTTCCCCTGGTAATAGATCTTTATTAGCTTGCATTTTCCCCCTCTATGTAAGTAGCAATTATGTGCTTTTAAATTTGTTTTTAGTATTTTTCTACGTCCATATCTGTTGACCATGTACTTTTTTGTTTTTTTCTGGTACTGGGGATTGAACCAGGCTCCTCTACCACAGAGCTAACACTCCAATCCTGTATCTCTGTATCTATCGATCTGTTTATTTATTTATCTATTTTTTGAGGCAGCCTTGATAGTTGCCCAGGCTAGCATTGAGCTTGGGATCCTCTTGCCTCCGCCTCCTGAGTAGTTCGGATTGTATTCATGCACTGCTGTGCCTGGCTAATCCTATAATTTTAAACTTTGATCTTGTACCTTCCTACTTTTTGTGATTGTTCATTTAAGGTAGAATGAGAAGCTTTGTTTTGAGAGCTTGCCATATAGCTTAAATGGCTTTTGACAAAACGAAAAGCAGAAGGATAAAAAGCTGATATTAAGTTGAATATCTAGAATACTTAAAAGTAAGATTTGTCATGGAGTCCTTAGCCACTAGGAATCTTGGGCCTTTAACAACAGTTGACTTATTTTTCTTAGCCTGTTGTTCAGGATTATATGAGAAAGAAGCAATTCTGTTACCTCTGGAATAGATTGGGGATGATCTCAGCTTTTACTCAAAGAGAATAATGTTTCATATCCCCAACTCAGATGCACAGATAGATGTATTTCAGTGCCTTGGTTGACATAATAAAGTAGGGATGAGGGAAATACAGCCCCAGCTAGGCCCAGGAAGAGGGGAAGAACAAAGGCTCCAAAGTGGGTTTATTCACACGTGGCCCGGCCCAGCTGGAACCGTTGACCCCAGCAGAGGTCTGTGGGCTCGCTCGTGGGACAATCTCAGAATGGCTCTGACTCTGAGGTGATAGCCTGGGCTCCCAGGGAAGATGGTCAGGAAGGATAGGTAGAAGCTGCAAGACTTCGTATCAGTTTCCTTTTGCTGCTGTAACAAATTACCACACATTTAAGGCTTAACACAATGCAGACTTATTCTCTTAAAGTTCTAGTGGCCCAGAGTCCAAGATGAGTCATAAGGGGCTAAAATCACAGCGTCAGCAAGACTCTGACCTTCTGAGGCTCCCGGGAGAACCTATTACTTGATTCTTTCCACCCTTTGGTATTCTTGGTTCTTGGCCACAGCCTGGACTCTGCTTCAGGTGTTGCATTATCTCCTTTATCACTGACCTTTTTGCCTCTCTCTTAGAAAGACTTTTGTGATTACATTAGGGCCCACCGAGATACTTCACGGTAATCTCACTCAGAATCTGTAATCACACCTGTAAAGTCCCTTGCTCAGTAAAGTCATGTATTCACAGGTTGGGGAATTTTGATGTGGACATTGTTGGGATCCATTGCCCAGCTTAGTGTTAGGGTCTTGTCTTGGAGTCTCAGAATATGTTTTGTTCCATGCTATTGATCAGGTAAGTCACCAAGTCCAGTCTAAATCCAA